TACTCTAATGTGAGGCAGCTCTTTCCCAGTCCTGTTTTGAGTGCCTTCTAACCCAAAGGGCTCATCTTCCTGCACTGTGTCGGACAATGTTTCAGGGCTATTCATAAAGTTGCCCAGTAATGTATCAGACAGTGTTTCTCTGCTATTCATAATGTTTTCCCTGACCAATTTTTGAGAAGTGGATGGCCTTCTCCTTCTTCCTAGTCTGTCTTAGTCTGTAAGCTGTGTTGGAATCTGTGCACCATGTGCAACTCTGCTGGCGTCTGAAACACCAGTGGCACAGCCTCAAGCTGTATAAGCCTCACAGAATGACAAACTGACAGACAGCTGGATGTAGTATTCCCCATGATGAAAACTGGCAATCAACTCCATGGTGGAATCTATTGTGAGCAGCTGAGTAGCTGCCCTAGGGATGTGTCTGCTTCCTGTATATAAGGAGAAACCTTGGAATTGGTCTCCAGCCTTTTGGCATGCTTGAACCCTGCATGTAGCCAAATTGTTGTTCAACATCCTGCCAAGCCCTGCTGATCTTGGGAGTTCAATATCTGGACTTGAATTAGTGGCCTGTCATGTTGTTTGGTAACATTGGGAATGTGCCTTTTTACCTGCCAACCTTGGGCTTGTCTGCCTCAGTAGCCAGCAGCTGTCTGAGTGAAGAAAGGCCTCCAGCTTCAGTCGGCCAGGAGCAGGAGGGAGCTGAAGCCCACGGCTGAGGGGTTTTCACCCAGCCCCCAAAGCCTGGCACTCTGAATTCGTACTTAAAGCCTCCAAACTGTAAGAGAATAAACTCCTGTTTGTTAAAGCCATTGTTTTGTGGTATGTCTTCTGTTAGAGTGGCACTAGGGAACCTGAACAAGGGGTAATTCCCCCTACTTGCCACAGTGCTCGCTCAGATGTCCACACAGACTTTTCTCCTGCTGCAGGAACTGGCTCAGCCCCGGCACCTCTCATTCAGGCCAGTGAGAATGGAGCTCAGTTATGCATGAAGGTTTCAACTATATATATTTCCTTCCCAAGATAGCAGCCGGAGAGAGATGGTCCTTCTTTCTCTGGACGTTTTGAGGCTTGTTCTGCTCCCAGCCTGAAGACAGAGCTCCTGGATCAGGCACATCCTGAAGCCTACCAATCTTTGCATTGCCAGTTATGCAGCTAATAAACTGAAAGCCAGATGGAGCTGGGTTACTTGCTAATGCAACCCATTTGGGGAGCTCTGGC